CTGTGTGTGTGTGTATGTGTGTGTGTGTGTGTGCGTGTGTGTGTGTATGGATTTGTTCAATATATACATAAACAGAATATTATTTATTTACTGATTTTATGCCTACCTTTTAAAAATATCAACTGCTGGATAAATGGTATCCAATGGGGACAGTGACACTTTCTAATGTTTTAAATCCCTCCTGGCTAGTTTCTCTTCTGGTTTGCAATCTTAAGTCTAGAGTTTAGTTTCGTTACATCTTTTGAAACTTTAGGCTGAGTTTCTGGAAAGCTGAGATTGAGGGCACTGTTGTAGTCCCTTGCAGAAGTCACTAAGGGAAGGTGGTACTGAGGCCAATTCTGCAAGAGAAGAAACAGCTTACTTCTCAGAATTCCCTGGAAAGGAAAATAATGAGCCTCAGACCTCCTAGACAGAAGTTATGGTTCCAAGGTTTCTCATCCACCTCTGGAGGTACCCAGAATCCTGAGAAATTCTGTCTCAAAAGATACATTTTCAAAGTGTGACTTATCTGTCAATTCTCAACTAGAACAAAGGTCTTTTCAAACCTCACTTCATTTTATAGCTTGGGCTCATAATGCTGTTTCTTATTTTACACAAAATTAATATGCCTAGAGTTTCTAGAATTTTCTAGCCACACCCCAGTGATCTACTTGAGTGATCACCCCAGTGATCACCTTGAAACAGGTATTCTAACCAGCTGGCCAGCACTGGAAATGTTGACCCTGGAAGTATTTCAGACATTCTTGTGCCGTCGTTTTAGGCAGGAACTCCACTGCCTCATATGCCTCGCAGGTACAGTTCAAACTTTTGCATTTCCACAAGTGACAAAAATATAGTAAAAAAGAAAAAAAAGGTGTTGTATTTTATTTCCCATGTCATGTACACTCCAATGTATTTCCTCCTTCACAACCATTTTTAAAATGCTCTCTCACTGTAAGAGTGATGAGTCAGAGTTAGGGGAATTGTTGTGACTTGCTCCACCTCTTAGAATAAGCCAATCCTTCTAGGGTTGGTTGATCCCAGGTTCTCAAAGGGTTATTTATGTAGAAGGTTGGGAGGATGGTTGTAATTTGCATGACCACATGGTACAGATGTTTATTCATTAAGTTGACCTCAAGTGAAGTAATATTTTTGGTCTGACTACATTAAAATTCAGCCAAGTGTCCACCCAGTGGGCAAGCTCAGTTCCAGAAGAAATTACGACTGGAATGACAAGAAGTTTGAGGGACCAAGATTGGAATATGTGGCTAGGCCTTAGTGAAAGGTCTGGAGCCAGACTGAAGGGTGTGTTCTCAATGACTGGACGGGGAGGCTGTGCAGAATTACAAAGGGCGGGGACAAAGCAGCACTTGTTCCCCTCTCTGAATCTGAACTGTTTTCATTTCCTCACCATAAGAACTGCATCTACAATTTAATATAAAACCAAAGATGCAGTCACTTTACAGACCTGACTGCTCATGGGCAGTCCAGCCTTCAGCAAAGCTGCTACATGGAGAATGCTAGAACCTTCCAGTCTTTTTCCTCCATCTATGAGGCCCCTGCACTCAAGTCTTTCCCTCAACCTTCATTTCTCCCTTTTAGTTCTGCTGTTTTCAAAGTGCAATCTTTGGACCAGCAACCTCACTTGAAAACTGGTCAGATATACTAATACTCAGGCTCCACTCCAGACTGACTGATTTTCAGATTCTGGGATCAGGATGAAGCCAGCAATCTGTTTTCTCAAGTACTCAGATGATTCTGATACACACCATAGTTTAAGAATCATTTGCTTTAGATGATATTCCAAGATAATAAGATGAGAGAGCATGTGCATTTCAGTAGAGGACTTAGAAAGAAGACAACCCACTCAAGTGCCAAATGAATAATTTTCCAGTAGTGGATTTTCAAGTCAGGTATGTGAAAACCAGTGAGAGAGTCAAGGCCACTGTATTCGTTCACCTCAGCTATTTCAGTCTTCTCTCCACACTGCTATTAGGTTCTGACCCTCAAGCCCCAGTAGGCTGCTCCCTAGCCACAGAATAAAGTCCCAAGCTCCTGGCACATGACCCAAGGTCCTTCATTATCTGCCTCTGGGCCACTGCCCTGACCTTGTTTCCTTCTGTACCTTCCGACCTACCCAGCCATCTCTCAGTATCTGCAGGAAGTTTATTCTTCCCTATACCCCTGACATCAGGTTTGGCCATGTGATGACCTTGGTCAACAGCACAAGAGCTGAAGGGACAGATGGTATTTGCCAGCAGACTTTAAAAGTCATAGGCTTATTCCTCAAGTTCTCTTTTCCTTTGCCATAAATGAGATTAGCTTTGTCCCAGAAAGAGGCTGTTTCTTAAGCACAGTGGGACCCAGAATGAAGACGGATGAGGAGTCAAACTACATAGGACCTATCTCAGCATACAGTATCAGAGGTAAAGGCACCTGTGTTGCTATAAACCACTGAGGTTTGGGGGTTAGTTGTTGTTAGCCTAACCTGACAACGAAAACCCTTCTGACCATTCCTCTCTCCCTGGAATATCTTCTCTCCTCTGTTCTACCTTTCTTTCAAATCCCAACTTACTGCTGGCCACACAAGAGACTTCTTACCCTTTTGCACTCAGTTCAACCGTTACCCCTCAATCAGCTCTTTATCTTTCCCAAGTATGTCTGATCACGCTCACCTTTACAACCCTCTCTAGATGCTGCAGATCTGTAAGTATGTCCCCACTATGGTAGGTGTTAGGGGCTTCCCGTTCTTTAACATAACTGTATGAATCCTACTAAAATAACAAAAGCAAGCTGAGCTCTCATCTTACAGAGCAGGAGGCCTTGCTTTGGAGAGGAGAGCAGCTGGTCCAATTTTCCTGCCTCAATCAGAGTCACAGGTAGGGGTTTGGCTCTCAGAGTCTTCGCCCCATACCACAGGCCTCTCCCTCCTCAGCAGCAAGATGCTGCCCAATGGAGGCTGAGGACTCCTCTTCAACTGGAAGGACTGCTACCTTCCTGTGACCTTTACAAGATCTCCATTTGGAAGTGGGTTTCTGACCATCTGAAAAGATATTTTCTCCAAATGGACCTATTTATTCTTTCTTTAATTCACATTTTTATCAGTATATGTTTACAATATATAATAGCTACATTCATAATGGGGAATTGGCACATATCAACATACCTTGATCATTTCTGATCCCTTTGCCCCCCTCAGGTCCCCCTCCCCATCCCCAAAACATCTGCCTTTTAAATATTTATTTATTTATTTATTTATTTATTTATTTTGCACAGAACAGTGGACTCTGAGCCTTTGAATTCCCTCCTTTATTTTGAGACAGGGTCTCACTAAGTTGCTGTGATATTTAACTTTCTATGTCTGACTTATTTCACTTAACATAGGATGTGTTTATTCTGGAAAAGACACTGGAAACCCTAGGAGAACTGGGGCAGTTTGCAGTCTTTCCGGGGTCCCAGGCTGCAGGGGTAAGGTGACGAGATAGGTTGACATCACCCTAGAGGACCTGGGAAGGTCCTTACAGGTTATCGCAAGAGGAGGCAAGTGTAGCAGTGGGTTCAGACCCTAAGCAAATCTGCTCCGTGTGATATTTTAGGTTTTAAAAATATACATGGGGCCAAATGTTTATCTGACTCTTCAGATTAAACAACAAAAGGAAAATGACACGGTGGCAAAGGACTGAACTAGACCACCCAGGTCAGAAACAGAATTAAATGCTTAAAGGTAGCAACTGCAATTTTAAGTTTCTAGAAGTTTTGGCATTTTGTGGTGTGGATGACTTTTCTTTTTTTTTTCTTTCTATGTCTTGTAAACGTTCTTGTTTGTATAGAAACCTAAAAATATTCCACCACCCCAATTACCCATGCTAGTGAAAAATGAGCATTCAACAAAGTATCACCACATTCGCTTCACGTAACAGTCACACTAATTTTTCCAAGGGCTACAAAGCTTAGGTAGAATCCATTTCTCTCTCACCTTCCCAAAGGCTCAGGTTTTTTACCCTCCCCTCAAGCTATATCGCCTTTAAATGATATCATCAGTAGCATTAATAATAGCATTTCCCCCCTTCAAGTGTAGAAAGCTGTTCAGAGCTCCAAATGGTCGTTAGGCCAGTTTGGACACGTCTGGCTCGCTCTTTAAAAGCGACCGTGCACTTCATATAATAAATAATAAGACTCAGCTTTCACCCAGCTTGGCGCTGTGCTTGATGTCTTTCAGACACTGGCTCAACCAATCTTCGAGACAACAAGAGCAATCGTTATTGCCACTTCACAGATCGGAAGGCGGAGGCGAGGGAAACCGCAGAGGAGGGAGAGCCGAGGGTGCAGGCGGGAGCCAGGGGCGGCGGCACCAGACCACGGTTAATGATTCACTCGCAGCCTCAGGCAGCTCCTTTCAGCAGGGGATGCAGCAGAGCACACACACGCGCGCACACGCGCGCACACACACACACACACACACACACAGACGCAAGCACACGCTCTCGCTCCCAGTCTGGCCTCCAACTCTCTCCATCCCGGCGAGAGGCGGTGTCCCGCAAATTGCTTGGCAACGCGCTCAGGAAACTCGGTGCCCAGCGCGGTCCAGCCCGGCGCCCCCGGGCGCTGTCCAGCGGGCTCGGCGCCTGCAGGCCGGCGGGGGTCCCGTCCCGAGCCCCGGGGTTTCAGGCGGGAGTGGCGGGGTGCTGGAGAGGCCCCGTCCCCGGCGACACCTGTTGTCGCCTTCCTAGTCGGGCACACGAAGCCGCGCTGGGCGACCTGGACGCCGGGGGCCAGGAGCGCTGTGTCCCAGAGGGGCCGCAGGGGCCCCCAGCTCGCCCTCCCGGGCCTCCCGCCTCGTCCCTCGCGCCCCGGACGCCGGGCGGCCTCGCACGTGCAGCCCGGGCTCGGACCGGACCGCGACCGGCACCGGGACACGGACGGCGCTAGGACCCTGCTGCGGCGGCCCCCGCCCGCTCCACCTGCGCGGCGCCCTCTCCGCGTCCCCCACCCCCACGCGGCGCGGCGCCAGGCTCCGTTACCCGCGACGCCGTCCGCAGGGTCCCGGCCGTAGCTAGAGGGGCCTGGGGATCTGGCCCAGCCGCGCCGCCGTCGCCGCGCGCTCTCCGGTCCGCAGCGCCGCCGCCGGCTCCCGGCTCCGGACTCCAGGCTCGCTCCGCCCCCCGGCTCCGGGCGCCGCTCCCGCCGCTTCTGATTGGCCGCGCCGCCGCCCGAGCTGCACGCTGATTGGGCAGCTGGGGAGTGAGGCGGGGCCGGGCCAGGAGCGGCGGGGACCTGAGCCCCGACAGTTGCGCGCCACAGCCTGTGTCCCTACCGCACCCGGGGCTGGGGTGTCCTGTCCTCTGTCCCTTGCCCCCTTTGCGACTACGGGGACCCCCTCCTGCAGCACCGAGCGGAGCAGAAAGTGTCGTTTCGAGGAAAGCCGGAGTGGGGGAGGATGGGGATCCCCTTGGAGCTGGATGGGGACCCCGCGGGCTGGTGGCTGGGGACCTCCGAGGTGGCGGCACCATCGCGCCCAAGCCTCTCTTCCGCCAGTCTCCCGACTTCATTTTTACACTTTTCGCTATACAAGAGGCATAGGGCTGAGGGCAGTAGCTTGTGAGCAGAAGGCGCCAAACAGCGTGGATTCGGGGTGGAGGCCTCCCACACCCCGACGTGGTCACAAAGGGGAAGCGATTTGTCCAAGGTCCCAGTCATTCAACAACTATGCTACCTGGAGAAAAAGAGCACCATGATGAAGTCTTCATTTCCAGAGAACTAAATACCAAGCTAGGGAGATAAGGATAAATAATAATTGCTCATTTCAACCCACCTGCACTTAATTCTTTTTCTTTTTGAAACAGGATTTCACGACATTGCCCAGGATAGGCTCAAATTTATGTTTCTCCTGCCTCAGCCTTGTTATCTGTAGTTCACTAGAGCTTAGATTTATATTCATGGACAAACAGGCTCCTGCTATATTGAAAATGTGGACTGGGGCATGAGTTGAGCGTCTCCTGTTTAAAACATCAGGCATAACAGGACGACGTCTGAGGAGAGTGCTCTCATGGCAGTTCCTTTCCAAGCACCAGCAGCACACAGAGATTGTCAGCTCTTAGTTCTAGTTGCTCATTTTTCATAGCTGTGGCTTTTGCCAAAGCTGAAGCTCTGCTGGATTATCATACCTTCCCTTCAAAGACAGAGAACAAGGCTGACCCAAGGCAGAGAGCGAATTGGGTAAATCTTGGTTGCATCAAAGAAAGATGAGCCCAAGGATGAGAAGTGAAGGAAGGATGACAAGCGAAGGAAGGATGCCAAGAGAAAGGGGAATGTGCATCCCACCCAAGCACCCTACATTCTTCTTGATGGCCAGACCTTCTCCTGACTCATCTAGAAAATAATCTCAGTTCTGCCTTTCGCATCCCATTTCTTCTTCCATGACTCCTACACAGCACTCAAGTCCTGACTAAAATATCTGTCCCTCCATAAGGACTTTGCTAACTCTGACGGGCTGGAAGCAACAGCGTCTTCATGACCTGTTTACCTGACCATCTTCTCGACTAGAGGACTGAGCATTACTTAGCAATGGGTCCCCATGTCTGCCTCTAAAGTGAAACACAGTATGTGCTCAATAAACACAAGTTGACAGACTAGCATCACTGACAGGTTGACATGTGGCATTAGGGAGACCAGGGCCACACCTCTCTCATGGGACTCAGAAGGCCGTCTTCTAGGTCCAGGCTGGATGGACATTCATTGTGAGCCAGAGTTGTCATCCATTCAGTCAACCTTGAATAGGTAGTTCCAGGACATCCAGCACTCTCAGGAAAGAGAAAAAATGAGATTTATTTTTTAAGGCACTTGAGATGAGATGGTGCAACCGATTTAGAAAGTAGTTCGGCAGTTCCTCAAAAATTAAAATTACTGGCCAGGGATTTAGCGCAGTGGTTCCACTGCCTGCTGAGCAAGCGCAAGGACCAGAGTTCAATCCCTGGTACCAAAAACAAAAAACAAAAACAAAAAAATTAGAATTACCATATGACCCAGTAATTCCACACCTAGGTATATATCCAGAAAAACTGAAAACACATCCCCACACAAAAACTTATACATTAATATTCATAGCATCATTATTCATAACAGCTGAAAAGTAGAAAAACCCAAAAAAGCCCATCAGCAGATGATAAACAAAATGTAGTCTATCCATATAATGAAATATTATTCAGCTGTACAAACGAAGTACTGATACATGATACAAAGGATAAATCTTCAAAACATTATGCAAAGGAAAAGAAGCCAGAAACAAAAGGTCACATAATGTATAATTTCATTTCTATGAAATACCTAGAATAGATGAATCCATAGAGATAGAAAGCAGATTAGTGGTTTTCAAGGATTGGGAGGAGAAATGGGGGAAGGACTGTTAAGTGAAAATGAGGCTTCTTTTTGGGGTAATGCAAATATTCTGTAATTAGGGTTTATGGTTACATAACTTTGTGACTATACTAAAAATCACTGAATTGTAAAAACAAAAGTACACAGCAAATATTCTGAGAGTGTAGAAACTGTTAACAAGGGAAATGTTAATTAAATCTTAAGGTGTAGTAGCTAAAAGTAGAAAAGTGTGGAGGAACTTTTCTGAGCCTGTGAAAAGTAGATAAATATGATCCAGTTAACCCTCATACTCCTGTTTTTAGCAACTGGGGTGGGGGGTTATTCCCTTGGTCTGCATGGTCCAGTTGAACATCTTATGATGGTGGAAATGTTCTTTAGCTGAGCTATTCAGTATAGCAGCCACCGGGTGCATGCAGCCATTAGACACTTGAAATACACTTAGTTGCAACTTGCAACATCAAATTTTAAGTTGTACTTAAATTTGAATAGCCACATGTAGCTAATGGCTACCAACATGGTAGTATAGCTTTAGCTGGTTTAAGACTAGCACCATTTTAACTGGCAGTTTGGTTTGCTTGGTTTGTTTGTTTGTTTGAGACAGGGTCTTGCTATGTAGTTGAGGCTGGCCATGAACTCATAGCAATCCTCCTGCCTCAGCGTCCCAAGCGCTGGGATTACTACCATGTCTGGCTTAACTGGCAATTTGGAAAAATACAAAGGGACATAGGAGTGGGACAGTTTGTGTCCCACAGCTCCACTCAAACCTGTATCCATTAAAAGTTCTTCAGTAAGATCTCACTGCTTTTGTCTCTTTTCTGTGAACTCTTTTTTCTTTTCCAGTACTGATTGTGATTGAACCCAGGGCCTTCAGACTGAGTTACATCCCCAGCCTTTTTCTAATTTTTTATTTTGAGGCAGGGTCTTGCTAAATTGCTAAATTGCCCAGGCTTCGGTTGAACTTGTGAACCTCCTGCCTCGGCCTCCCCAGAGTGTTGGAATTACAGGCATGAGTCACGGTGCCCAGCCTCTCTGAACTCTTAATCAGTGTCTGTCTGAAATACAGATTTGGTTTTGTCTTTACCATAAAGCGTTTCCATTCCACCAATATGTATGGCCTTGTCACTTTGTGGAACGTGCCGGGAACAGGAAAGAGTATAGATCCTGTCTGCCAGTTCCAAAGGGTTGGCCCTGAGATCCAGAAAAAGAGCAAAAGAAATGACATCCGAGGATCTTGCTCCTCTCTCCATCCCTTAAACACCACCCTCCCCACCCAGCGTTCTTCTAAGTGGGAACTCTTGCTGTCAAGATGCTGAAGTGGTGTTGAAGAATCTTTATTTAGACTTCTTGTTTCTGTCCCCACCTTGGAACCTGCTTAACTCCCTCAATGGATCTTCTGGTTCGTGCTGCTCTTTCTCTTCTACGAACTTTCAATGAACTTGCAATCAGTTCTAGAGAGTGCAGTGACTAAGTGTTCTTCCATAGCATGGTATCCCCACACCAAGATTTGTTTGCTGTGTGAATATTTATGGATTTATGGAGCTAGGAATGTGTGCCAGAATGTTTCTAGGTGCTGTGGGTAAGAAAAATGAAAGAACTGGGCAGCTCAGAGCCCACTGTGGGGCACAAAGGACAGGTAGCACTGAGCAAGCTGGATGGTGCATTGTGATAGGAATTCATAAACACTATTAAGATTATTTTTTAAATCATTTAAAATTCAAAATCAGGGCCGGGGATTTAGCTCAGTGGTTTCACTGCCTGCTGTGCAAGCGCAAGGACTCAAGTTTGATCCCCGATACCAAAAACAAAAATAAATTAAATTAAATTAAAATCATTTTTCCTTGAAATCCCAATCAAGTATTTCAAGGGACTTGCATTTTAGTGTTCAAAAACAAAACCAAGAGCACAGAGCTATGCTCACTGTTTCTGAGTCTTTGCTTCTGCTATTCCTTTTGTCTGAAATTTCTCCTTTTTGGTTAATAAAATCAAGTGTTTTTTCCTCTCCCACTACCCCAGCAGCTAGCATTCCTTCTGTCACACTCCCGTCCCTCAAAATAAGACCCGACTCTCTTTTGACTTAACTGTGTGTTTCCTGACACCCTCAATGAGTGTTTCTTGAATAGAAAGGTGAGAAAGAAAAAGGGAAATAATTTTAAACACTTGTCATTTACAAAGCCAAACTGTAGCTCACGGTGGGCTGTGCTGACCCCTCTTGGAGGATGAAGGGATTGACATAGGAACGGAGAGCACAGGGGCTCCTCTGTACACAAAGAGGAACAAACACAAAAGGAGCAAATACTTTACCCTGAAAGGCCTGCAGTCCCGATGCCATGCTCTATGGGCTAAGGAGAGGATGTACAGTCTGGCCCAAAACGGACCTAGGGCAACTTCTGTGTGAATCCCAGTTCTGTCATTCCATAGTTGTTTAACCCTAGACCTAAACATCTCTGAGCCTGTTTATTTATTTTTTGCCTATAAAATGAACTCGAAGTGATTCTCCTGCCTCAGCCTCCGGGTGCTGGGATTACAGGTGTGGGCCACCCAAAAAGTACCATTATTGAGCCGGGCTTAGAGGTGCACAGAGGAGGATCACTACTAGTTCAAGACCAGCCTGGGCTGCATAGTGAGTGTAAGCTCAGCCTGAACTATACAGCAAGGCCCTGTCTCAGAAAAACAAAATAAATAAAAATACATAACTGAAAGGTACCATTATAGGAAGAAGCTACGATATCCTCAAGTGCGTGATGTCGCTTAGTGATGT